CATTCTTGTATTCCTATTCTCTAACTTCCTTTTGCCACCTCCTGTGAGTAACTGTCTTCTCTATCTCGCCTGCCCTTTATGGGCTGTCTCCTGCTTTGTGATACATAAACACATACTGCCACATTTCTTCTAAGATCACTTACTGTTCTCAGTCATTTACTGCATAAGATATGTGGCACAATATATTCATATGTCTGGCAGTATGACAGCTTTCTGTGATCTGTGTTAAATACAAGCACAGCACGTGAATGTGATGCTGACTGATACAAGCAGCAAATCACAGAATCTAGTGATGGTGAAACCTGCTAGGTTTAGTCTATTTTCTCTAGTTTTCAGTTCTTTCTTACCTTATCTTATTTTCTTATGCTGTTGTTTGATTTTAGTATTCTTAGATGCCAGCATGACCTACAGTTGTCCTAAAATTTTTTCTAATGCAGTTTCTAACTCCTGAAGTTAGTAAGTGAGCATCCTTCCTTATATAGTGACCTGGAGATGATAATTGTCCTTTCTTTCCCTTCTGATCATCCTTATTTTTTCCCTGTTCCTGTTTCCATGCTGTCTTTCATCTACATGGTTATTGCTGTCTTCATTGTCTTTTTCTAATTGATGGGTTTTATTCTCTGTTCTCTAATTTATTGTAGTTTTTTTTCTTCTTTTACCCTAAGAAACAGGAAGCATTCTTGCGTCTTTCACTGATTATGTGAAGGAAGGTCATATATGGATTACATGAAGGAGGGTCGTATATGCTGTAGTCACTTACCTGATTGCTGTAGATTCAGAGGAAACTAACTGGTTGTGGTTAGAGGCAAAAGCCTGGGTCTGCAACCTGTGGCATGTGTACTGTAGCTGTAACTGCATTGGGGAGCAAGGATGTGTGGTAGATAGTTTTCAAATGTTAGTTGTTTGATTAACTAAGGAGTACCTAGGTGTTGGGATGGATCCAGAGTTAATACATCTGATTCCCTTTTCATTGTTTATTTTCTGATGTGTGCACACCCCTTCTGACAGCCTTTAAGTGGAGGGAAAGGGGCCTAGGAATGAGTTGATGAACACTGCCAGGGACAGGATTGTAAATGAGACCATGGGCATATGAATAGTGGAACGTTTTTTACGCTAAAACCATGTCTTCTTTGTGCAATTTATAAACTTTCCAATTGACAGTTTGTTCCAAGCTTTAAAACTGCCCTAATTTACAGAATTTGATTATAGGCTATATGTTATTTTTCTCCCTCCAGAGAAAAGGTGTAAGTTTCAGTATTATTAATTATTTCCAACTTTATGCAGTCTGCGTGAGCTGTTGTGGGAAGGCCCGTGGGCTGATCTTAGAGTTGGGGAATACTGTCTATAGTTCAACCTAGGGGGTGAGCCAATTGTGGTATTTATGGGTTTTCCACTGGAATATCAAATCAAATCTGTGCCCTCCTAAGGAAAATGTCATGATGTCAAATGGATGGCTCAGTCCCTGAATGGAGTTCTCTGTTAAGAATGTCAGTGCGCCTGATGGAAGGAGTGGAAGGCTTAGTCCAATGACTATATATATATATAATATTTCTCCTTTCCTCTTCCAATAGGATTGTTCCACTTAAAAGAAGTTAAAATTGAAGTTTTCTAAAAGTTGTACTGCTTTGGTCTCCTGTCACCTGTGTTGTGGTAGCTGTTTCATCATCATAAAAGACTGAACTTTAAGAGCCTTCAGCAACAGAAATCGCCTAAGTGCAGAGCAATAATATTTATTAGTCTAAGCTCATTACTTAATATTTTTGTAGAGCTTTTAGGGAACCATGGTTTCTAGGACATGTTTTTTAGCATAGTTACAGGATCATCTTTGCATAATGGTCTTCTTGCCTACATGATACCAGAAAAATTGTTTTTACAGCCTGCTCTTGAGGTGAAGAATAAATGATCATTGCTAAACCTTTCTCACATTGTCATATTTTAATCTTGAAGTAAAATTAAAATATTTGTTTAGATGCATCTAAAATTACATAAGCTTTGAACTGTTGAATTTAAAACAAAACTTGAACAAAGATGGTGCCTATCCTATGACACAAGACAGGTGAATATAAATTGCATGTAAGAAAATGTTGCAGACACTGAACAGCAGGAGTAGTTCTACTGATTTGTCATCTTTGGTCTCAGCTGTCAGTCCACTTATTTGTTCCTGGTAACACCAGCGTGTTGCCCAACGGAGCCATTGTGCCCTTTGTAGTTGTGGTGCCTTCATTCTTTCACTGCTCTTTTCTGACCTCAAGCAGATGAAAACCAGGTGAAAATCCTTTTGAGAAGCATTATGAGCCTTGTAATGTTTCTGTTTGGCATTAGCAAAGTCCTTCCTAGTTCTGCTAAAAATCATCAGTTATTCTTTGCCTTCTGGCAGTTAAGAAGTATATAAAAAAGTCTCACTGAGCTATATATAGGATGTGACATAAATCCAGCATAATCTGATGACATTCTTGTATTCCTATTCTCTAACTTCCTTTTGCCACCTCCTGTGAGTAACTGTCTTCTCTATCTCGCCTGCCCTTTATGGGCTGTCTCCTGCTTTGTGATACATAAACACATACTGCCACATTTCTTCTAAGATCACTTACTGTTCTCAGTCATTTACTGCATAAGATATGTGGCACAATATATTCATATGTCTGGCAGTATGACAGCTTTCTGTGATCTGTGTTAAATACAAGCACAGCACGTGAATGTGATGCTGACTGATACAAGCAGCAAATCACAGAATCTAGTGATGGTGAAACCTGCTAGGTTTAGTCTATTTTCTCTAGTTTTCAGTTCTTTCTTACCTTATCTTATTTTCTTATGCTGTTGTTTGATTTTAGTATTCTTAGATGCCAGCATGACCTACAGTTGTCCTAAAATTTTTTCTAATGCAGTTTCTAACTCCTGAAGTTAGTAAGTGAGCATCCTTCCTTATATAGTGACCTGGAGATGATAATTGTCCTTTCTTTCCCTTCTGATCATCCTTATTTTTTCCCTGTTCCTGTTTCCATGCTGTCTTTCATCTACATGGTTATTGCTGTCTTCATTGTCTTTTTCTAATTGATGGGTTTTATTCTCTGTTCTCTAATTTATTGTAGTTTTTTTTCTTCTTTTACCCTAAGAAACAGGAAGCATTCTTGCGTCTTTCACTGATTATGTGAAGGAAGGTCATATATGGATTACATGAAGGAGGGTCGTATATGCTGTAGTCACTTACCTGATTGCTGTAGATTCAGAGGAAACTAACTGGTTGTGGTTAGAGGCAAAAGCCTGGGTCTGCAACCTGTGGCATGTGTACTGTAGCTGTAACTGCATTGGGGAGCAAGGATGTGTGGTAGATAGTTTTCAAATGTTAGTTGTTTGATTAACTAAGGAGTACCTAGGTGTTGGGATGGATCCAGAGTTAATACATCTGATTCCCTTTTCATTGTTTATTTTCTGATGTGTGCACACCCCTTCTGACAGCCTTTAAGTGGAGGGAAAGGGGCCTAGGAATGAGTTGATGAACACTGCCAGGGACAGGATTGTAAATGAGACCATGGGCATATGAATAGTGGAACGTTTTTTACGCTAAAACCATGTCTTCTTTGTGCAATTTATAAACTTTCCAATTGACAGTTTGTTCCAAGCTTTAAAACTGCCCTAATTTACAGAATTTGATTATAGGCTATATGTTATTTTTCTCCCTCCAGAGAAAAGGTGTAAGTTTCAGTATTATTAATTATTTCCAACTTTATGCAGTCTGCGTGAGCTGTTGTGGGAAGGCCCGTGGGCTGATCTTAGAGTTGGGGAATACTGTCTATAGTTCAACCTAGGGGGTGAGCCAATTGTGGTATTTATGGGTTTTCCACTGGAATATCAAATCAAATCTGTGCCCTCCTAAGGAAAATGTCATGATGTCAAATGGATGGCTCAGTCCCTGAATGGAGTTCTCTGTTAAGAATGTCAGTGCGCCTGATGGAAGGAGTGGAAGGCTTAGTCCAATGACTATATATATATATAATATTTCTCCTTTCCTCTTCCAATAGGATTGTTCCACTTAAAAGAAGTTAAAATTGAAGTTTTCTAAAAGTTGTACTGCTTTGGTCTCCTGTCACCTGTGTTGTGGTAGCTGTTTCATCATCATAAAAGACTGAACTTTAAGAGCCTTCAGCAACAGAAATCGCCTAAGTGCAGAGCAATAATATTTATTAGTCTAAGCTCATTACTTAATATTTTTGTAGAGCTTTTAGGGAACCATGGTTTCTAGGACATGTTTTTTAGCATAGTTACAGGATCATCTTTGCATAATGGTCTTCTTGCCTACATGATACCAGAAAAATTGTTTTTACAGCCTGCTCTTGAGGTGAAGAATAAATGATCATTGCTAAACCTTTCTCACATTGTCATATTTTAATCTTGATCCAATTATTTACACTGAGCAGCAAGATACAGGGTGCTAGGGCCCAGACAGAAAGGAAAATTTACTCCTGTGGCTTGATATTTTAAAATCCCCAGAAGAGGACGAACGGTTTTGTTTGGAGGAAACTAACAAGAAAAATGATTCCTTTCCTGGACTTCTATTTGACCAGTAAATGTGAAAGAAGGATTAATTTATAGATTAAGAAACAGAAAAGTTTTTCAATTTCCTTCCTGTCTCAGCAGTTAAGATCTCCGATTTGAGTTTTCTGTCTACATGCCCTAGGCTTGTAAGGATCCCAGTGTGTCTTCATTATGACTGCAGGGAGTCAGACTGCACAAATCTAATTGTGGGTTCAGGTCCTTACTTCGTTGTTCTATGCTGCCCATTAATGTGCATGTACTCTACTGACACTGGTGTCTTTGAAAAAATAATGTATTGCATAAAGTCATATGCATCTTCTGATGTAATATAATAAAATAAACGTTATGAGGAACTAACCTGTTTAAGGGTGGAGGGGGTAATATCCATTTACTTGGAAAGCAGAGGAGTTGGAAGTCAGGCACTGTTGTTATGGACATATATTTTATTTCTCTCAAATTCTTTTCAGGGTCAGTGAAGAAAAGGAGGTGACAGAAGAACGGCTGAAAGCTGAACAGGAGTCATTTGAGAAGAAGATCAGACAGCTAGAGGAACAGAATGAACTTATCATCAAGGAAAGGGAAGATATCCTTTAAAAATATGTGCAGGGGCTCACTGTCTGAAATAAAAAGTGAACTACAGAGAAATAATTGTTCTAATTTATGGCAGAGAATAAATCTGCATGTGCTGCCATTCAAAAGCAATCACAGAGATGACTTGTCAGCATGTGATGGTGGTTCATTTGAGCTTAAAACTGCCATCCAGCTGTTCATATGATGTTGTTTTGCTATGAAATAGATATTTGTCAACTAAAAACGACAATAAGGAATTTATGCATGAGAATACATTTATAGATTATTTTTTTTTACTTAATCCTGTTAGGTTGTTGTAATTGAGGTCTAAAACTTGCATGGTATTCCAGTGCTCTCTGTATCCAGAGAAAGACAACTTACACTGAAGGCATATAAACTGTATGTATGTACCAATAGGTTTAGATAGTTCAGCCTTTTTTTGGTGTAGCTTTTGTTTGATTTTTATATAAAGTTAGCTTATTCTCTTTTCTTGCAGGCTGTGACTTCCATTTTTGTTAAGCTGTGTATGCTTAGTTCCAGTACTGGAATATCACATGAAAAGTTGATGTTGCAGAAATTACCATTTCCCTTAATGTGGTGTGATAGACCTTTACAAAACTCTCTTGTTCATTTCTCTTCCAAATCTTTGATATTGATGCTTTCCTGTTTAATTCCTCAGAAGGCTAATGGTTGACTACAGTGGGATATGGAAGAGACAGTGCTGCAACTACAGCAAAAGCAAATAGAATGTGATTTTTCACGAGCTGTATTTCAAGTAGGGAGGATACTAATGCTATTTTAAAAAGCATTGATGAAAACTAGTGCACAATACTATTTTCAGTCTCGAGTCATCCCTTGTGCAAGTAAAAAATGAAGTTAGTTAAAAAGTTGTGGAGAAGGGCTACTTAAGATGATGGGAAGACTGGAGAAGCTATTTTCAGAGATGAGACTGAAGTGTGTGCATATGCTTATGGGTAGTGACTGGCCATATAGAAGCAGGTTGAGATGGTGGTAAGTTGAATAGGGGGAGAGACAAGGCTGAGACAAAAAGCTGTGTTCAAGCTATAGGCCAGTGTTGGAACAAAAATAAATGGAGATAAACAATCCACAAACTTAAACATGAAGTTAGAGGAGGGTTCTTGAAAACTGAGCAATGATATTTCTCAGTTTAGCACTGGAAGGCTTAACAAAAAAAAGCTTTTTTATGATGGAGCTTGGTTGGCTTACGAAAGGAATTCAAAGGAATTCAGTGATAGGTGTTCTCTGTCAGCAGGGGATTGCCCTTGATGACCCAGAACATCCCTTGTAGCACAGTGGCACTTGCATTGATAGAAAGAATTTGGTCTGTTTGTACTAAATAATATACACATCAATAAGCTTAGCCGGGCATGGAACACTTCCTGGAAAATATTAAATCTGATGTATTTAAGAGCCATTGGATGTGACTACAACTCTTTTACATTGATTTCACTGAAGTCAGTATTTTGTATTTTTATATTACATCTTGTGTTTTCAGTTAGCTCATGAATGTGGGTGGGATGTATGTTCCTGATTAATATTTTTTAATTTATCCACATAAACCTTTCACTAGTTCATCTAAGGTTTATTTAGCTACTGGGAAGTAGGCATGCTTGCTTGGTTGTTTTTGGGTTGTTTTATTTTTTTTTGTTTCTTTTACTACAAATAGATTGAACAAGCATGAATACTTTTTCAGAAGTCTGGTAGACGTGGCAGAAGGTTAATGCATGCAATTTTACACTTCATAAAACTCTGTAAAATCTAGAAATATAAAACAAGGTTATAATTTAAACCAATATAATTTTAAGTACTGCAGTACTTGTCTCTCATACATGAATGATTCAAGATCCTCAACCTACTTCTGATCAGTTAATTTTTTTATCTTTAAGCTTGTTGCAGAGACAAGAAATGGTAGAAATGCCTTACCAAAGTTGAATAAAGATTCTGGTTGTTTTCAAGAACAGCAACTTGAAATTCTTCAAGCTCTTCTGAAATGTACAGACTTCAGTTGCAAATAAGATATCAGGGATATAATACCATAAGAAAAAGCCCTGGTAAAATCAATTTTACTTACTTTTTTTTTTCCCCCTCCCCCAAAGCTGGCTTCTTCTCTATAAAATTACTTTATCTAGCCCAGTATTTAAAATTACCCTATATTAATGAATTGGTGCTTCTGATATAACAGAATATCCAATGGAGTGTAATTTCAACTTGATGAAGGTTTAATTTGAATAGCACAGGGAGCGTGGTTTCAGCAACATGTGTTTTGTTTTTTTTTCTTAAGACTCTTGCAGCAGAGATATGCTTTGTGTGCTTGAAATCCCTACTTTAAAGGCAGATTTTCCTCATTTTGTTGTGGTTGATTTTTTTTTTTTTTTTGAGAAGCTATGTGGATCCATCCATTCAAATTCATTGCTGATGAACTATGACAAAAGTTTTGGGAGGTAGGGCAGTAGGTGGCATGCAGTGATTTCACGGCAAAACTTACCAGTATTGAAAAAACAGTATCTGTCTGTAGCCTAGTCTTACATTTGCTTTGGAGTTAGTCAGTGCTGTCTGGGTAGGGAGCAACAACTAAAATTTCATGCAAACTTAAAAGTACATTCTATCCCTCCATTGCAGTTGAAACTTTGAAATTTGAGTAGGGCATGCAGTTAATGGAGGACAACTTTGATGAGCATGCTGTGAATCATAAATAGACCAGCCTGTTGTCAGGGTTGCCAAATACTTATTATCACAGCGTTGAGGAAAATAAGGATTTCAAGTAGTCTTCTGGTCTGCTCCTTTTCCCTAAAGTGGTATCATTAGACCTGACATATTGTCTTATACTGTGCTCAAAAGTAGATATTTTGGCTTAGTTTTTCACAGGGCATTGCCACTTGAAACTGACTTCTTTCAAAAGAAACTTGATCTAAGGTGTTTCAACCAGTTCTAGTACCAAAATAGGATCAAACCTTTATTTTATCTATAATTAACTCTTGTAGCCTTTTTTCTAAGAAGTTCTAGTGCTGCTGTTCTTTGGAGATGTGATGCTTAGTGGTGTAAGGTACACATGCTGTGATGACATCTTCTGCAGTTCTTACGAAAATCCACCCAGTTGGGCTGAACTGGACAGTCGAGTAACAGGTGATCCCATTCTTTTGATGCCCTCCACAATGAGAGCAACTTAGAGCTATGAGGATGAGGAAAGTGGTGGAAAAATTAATCTTCTGAAAGGGAAGACCAAGCAGGAGGTAGAGGGGAAAATGTAAGCGGAGTCTGTACTGGGGAAGTGAGAACTAGAACCTGTCTGGAAGTAAAGACTTGGAAAAGGAAGTTGGGCTGGGCATGGCTGATGCAAAGTAAAGCCTGTGACTGATGAGTTCAGAAGTGTTTGGGATAAGCATTCAGGTTTAAGGAAGAGCCAGGATCAAGTCGGGTGGCCTAGATCAGTCAGATGATGGTGAGACAGCTGCTGAAAGAAGGAATGTGCCTGTTCAGTGTATTCTAGCACCCTCCAAACTTTGAAAGAGAATTTGGGACTAAGCTTATGTGACAAGGCTCACCATGTCCTGCTGGAGCGTGTCCAGAGGAGAGCCACGAGGACGATCCGAGGGCTGGAGCACCTCTCCTATGAGGAGAGGCTGAGAGAGTTGGGGCTGTTCATCCTGGAGAAGAGGGGGCTCCGGGGAGATCTTATTGCGGCCTTCCAGTACCTAAAGGGAGTCTACAGGAGAGCTGGGGAAGGACTTTTTACTAGGGTGTGTAGTGATAGGATGAGGGGGAATGGCTTTAAACTTGAAGAGGGCGGGTTTAGATTAGACATTAGGATGAAGTTTTTGCCTTTGAGGGTGGTGAGGCACTGGAACAGGTTGCCCAGAGAGGTTGTTGAGGCCCCATCCCTGGAGGTGTTGAAGGCCAGGCTGGACGTGGCCTTGGGCAACCTGGTCTAGTGGGAGGTGTCCCTGTCTATGGCAGGGGGGTTGGAGCTCGATGATCTTCAAGGTCTTTTCCAACCTAAACCATTATTTGATTCTATATGTAACCAACCTTCCTTTCTTCCTCAGCATCTACTCTTAGTATTTGTCTTCTCCTTGCTTCTGTATTCCCAGATCATGATGGATACATACCAGGTTACTGAACTGTGCTTCTAGTAGCAATCTAAACTCTGGTGTTGCCTTTGGAGTGTTTGACTTGCAAGTTCAATGTTCTTATTTTTGTTGTTTCACTTGCATTTCCAGAATAAGGGATGAGCAGCGTGCACCATGTTATTCTCTTTGGTTACTTGCACTGCCCCTTCTTCCTCTTCTGCTGGGAGCTGTTAAAGAGAAAAGCTTCTGGCTTTCCTTTTGTTTCTGGCATATTTTCAAGGACCTATTATTTATTTAGGTCCCAAATAAGATTTAATTTAAGAAACAGGAAAATGTCTTTTGTAAGATGCCCCAGTACTGTCATGATAGATGTCTGAGGAAAAAAATGATGATAATAAGATTATTAAGAAACAAATACTACTGTTATTTCAGAGCCCAAAGAAATTATGTTATGGTCTTTAGCTTTTCTTGTTATCACCATTAAGGATTTTTTTCATGTAAATTTGATGGTGTTGCATAAATGAAGAAGCAAAACAGCCTTAACATTTCTGTGAAGATTTATTAATTGGAGAAGACAGAACTTCTTAAAAAAAAAAAATTAAAAAATTGGTTATTGAATTCTATTGAATGCTGAAATTATGATTTTGGAGACAAAGAATAGGGAGGTAAAGGGAAGAAGAGATTCTGATTATTTCAAACATATTGTTTTCTTTTTGTAAATTTAAACTTATCAGCCCTACTAAACTGCTGTATTGGTTTATATTTAGAATGTACCTGGGTTACTTAAGCTTTTTGTGGGAATTATTTCCTGACTGAGAATGGTCTGTTGATTTGAAGACCCAGCCAAGTTCGTACAACAAATCCCATAGGATTTACTTTGCCAGTCTTAAAAATGATGACAGGCTCTGTTTACATATGTCCTTAA